AGCCTAATCTTCTCTTCTCTTTTAACTGTGGACCAACTACTGATGAGGTGTTTTAAATATCCAGCAACAAAAATTAAGCTACATCTGTCAGCAGCTGTGTGACCGATGGGTGTCCCTGAGTGTTGGCAACACACACACACACAGCTTAAAAGGGCAAATGAATGCACTGCTGCGTCTTTCTCGTTTTATCTGTTTACTTTAAATCTCACATTCGAGGATTATCAACTGTCTTGTGAGAGTGTGAGTTTACAACATCAAATGTCCCTCCGCCCACATCTCCCATCAGATCTGTTGCGACAGGAACAGAGGGTTCACCGGGTGACGTGGGGGAGTAGAGACGGAGCACTGAAAGGCTCGGCCCCCAGAATGTCCCTCATTTTATTTTGAGGTTTTAATTAATCCTGATGATGAAATGCTTGTATTGTTTTTAAAATAATGCCAATGACACCAGCTGTGTGTGTAATTTGCAGGACACACAAACCTCTGGATCATCCGTCTCACCCCAGATCACACACACACACACACACACACAGTCCTGTCTGTCTGCAAGCTCATCAGGGATTAACGCAACGCACAATTGCACGTGCACGCACGCATACACACTATCCTGTTTTATCCAAGCTGGACAGCTGTTTGTGTATTCATCTCCTCAGCCTCAAGCACTCAGGGAAACTGATTTATTTAGTTTTCTGTGTAAAGCCTGTTTGTTGTGTTGTTCTTCTGTTTTTCATCATGAGGTTTTCAGTTCCTTCTATGTAACAATGTTGCATCATTCTCACGCTTCCTTGCCTCTGTAATCACAGAGAAACACATAAAAGCACACATACATAAATAGTGGTCTGTCTACACACACACACACACATTGGTATAAAGACATAAAACACTGACAGAACAGAGGAAGATGACAGTTGATCTGAATCATTAAATGTGTAATGTTCAAAAGCCATCTGCATTGGAGCAGTCTGAATGAATTTTATTGTTAAGAAAATGAAATGATAACTGCACCCACTGTCCACACACACGGGAGGATAGGCAAGAACAGGCACTGCTGTGGGCACGAACCTCAAAGATCTCTCTTTCTCCCTCTGGTTTCAGGGAAGTTCCAGGGGGTGAAGATGCGACACAGAGCCCTGCGTGGGCCTGCTGGAGGCTGGATACAGGATTTGGGTTAGGCTCAGGGGAGCATGGAGAGCGTGCTGGAGGTATTTTGTTAATTCAGAAAAACAGAGCGTTATTATTTTATTTTGTGAATGCAATACACTGCTGTAGTGGCTGACTGTGGACATTAGGAGCTCATAAAGACAGTCACAGACTGCAAATTACAGTCCCTCCAGGAAGCTGCGATGTTGTGATCGCAACAATTAACTCAATTCAAGCAGTCCCTACGAATTCTGCATGACCTTGCAATTTTATCCAATCAACGCAACTTTTCCACAAATTTTACCAGTCATTGCAATCCCCCGCGCAAAGCATTGAACCATACGCAGAGGGAAGAACAGGAGCACAAGTGCTTTGTTAATATACTTAAGTAGTTTTTTTATTGTATCTGTACTTTACTTGAGCACTTTACTGTTGTTGTTTTTTTTACTTTTTACTTTTAATCCCTTAATTTTAACACAAATACTTTTATACTTTGAGTACATTTTAGAGCCTGTATGTTTTCACTTTTACTTGAGTAAAGAATATGTGTACTTTTGCCACCTTGCCACCGCCATACGAGCAGTTTTATTCTCACTGGAACAAGTTGCCTTGTTGCTTGTAATGAATTATACAAAAATATGGCAGTTTTTTGCAGTTTATACTTTGTCATGCAATTTCATTGAAAAAAAAAATGCCTAAAAACATCTTTTCAGATATTATTTTAGAAAAGCTGATATGAAATCATGCATTTTAGGCCGCAAAAATCCCCCCAAAAATCCCACGGAATCCTGGAGGGACTGAAACTAAAACCCTTTATTGTATCTCAGACATAAAAGCACACAAAACATATCAATGCACACATTAATGCACTCACATAGATAAGGTAAATGCATGTACATAAGCTGCTGGCTAGGACGTATTACCTCTCAACCGATATTCAAACACACACACACACACGTCCCTGCAGCATGTGTTTCCAGGTCTGGTTATATAAACTGCACTGTTTTTGGTTGAAAGATGTGAGCATCTGCTGCTAACTGGCCCTTATACCACCTCACACTGTTTCTGGCAAACACAACACCAGGGGGTCCAACACACACACACACACACACAAAATACTCTAACAGGGTTGCATAACCTGACCATTTTGCTCTCTCTTTCTGTCTATTAATAATAATAAGTCTTTCTCTTTCTCTATCTCACACACACACACACACACACACACAGACTGTTGAAAGTATCCCCTGCAACCTACATGTCAAGTTACATAAATTCTAGTGTTGTGAGTAAAATGGATGGTCTCACACTACCTATGCCAAGCATGGCACCAGGAGGTCAAACACACACAAACAACCCACGTAACTAGCAGCCAATAAGTAATAGTTAAGCATTTTATACCTGTTATATTGTAATTAATAGTTTGAGATACTGGGCATCGAAGTGTCCTTGAGCAAGATACTGAACCCCAGTTGCTTCTGATACTCCTATCAGTGCATGAATGTGTGTGAATGGGATTAGTTTCTGTTTCTGATGGCCAGTTGGCACCTTGTATGGCAACCTCTGCCATCAGTGTGTTTGTGTTTAATTGTCTAAGACAGATTTGTGGAGTATATCTATTAGCATTTTAACCTGAACCTGTAGTTCACTGTGGTACCTTCAAGAGAGAAAATAAATTAATTCCCCATGATATTTAAGGAATGGTCATTTTGACATTACAGGTCTCTAGGGGGTTGTGGAGCTGATAAGAAGAAAAGAAGTGTGAGGAAAACAGAAAGAAAGCGGGGAGGAGAATGAGGAGCCTGTTGATATCAAATGAACCTGACAGTGTAACTGAACCACAATCTGCCACCAAAGACGCAGGAGAAAGTAGGTGTCGACTGCCAGTGTGGATCACTCAGGCATCCATACATCTGCATCAGTACTAAATGGATGGGTTCGCTCGTCAGTACAGCAGATACAGCTACTGATCAATTCAACAAGAAAAGTGAAGAAGAACCTGGACTGATTTAAGAGCCAGACTGTGTAGGAATGAAACGGATTGTATCAGATGACAGCAAGCATATTGAGTGACACGTTTACATGAGACATACATCAGCAGGTTGACAGCTGACTGAGCTGTGAGACGGTCCGGGAAAACATCTAACCTGCATGTGACAGTGTAAAAGTTTGTGTCAGTCAGTCTGGATGTGGACTCAGGTACTTGCTGTGTTGCTGCTGCAGCTACTTAAAGCACAACACAAGCTACTCATTATAACTATTATTCATTTAAAACGCTCTTTTAGAAGGAAAATGCAACAGCGTGGATGTAGCCTAAATATGTAGAAGACAGTATCGCTGTCCCGTCTGAGTCACAGACACTGAAAGTGTAAGTCTTACTGCATCTTTCGGGAATATGCTTCCCAGGAATTCCCCCACTCATGTGTTGTAATGCTCCAGTTCTGTTTGGTAAACAGTTTAGCTGCTTTAATATCTTACTTTTCAACTAACACTTTGACTGCTTTCAATGGCTACACCTTAACTAACAGTTCCACTGCTTTCATCTTTCATTCTTTAACTGAGGGCTCACCTGCTTTCACTGACACTGACACTTTCAACTCCTTCACTTCAACTGAATAACAGTAATAACAGTTTCACTTATTGTTTTTCATCAACTCAACTTTAACCTCAAATTCTAGCCCTATTTTGGCTATTTCTCCTCCTGTTTGTATTTTTCTACTTACTCACACACACTTTTTAGGTTTTTCCCCACTGATGCTCATAATGCTCACAGCCTGTTGGGTAAATACTCCCACTGCAGTGGAGCCTTTTTCTCTGTACTCATGAGCGCTATTTCCCCTCTGGATGTAGATATAAGGCTTATTCTGTAGACACAGGCTCTGTAGATAATGCTATACAGGCCAAATGTAGCTCATAACACCAGGGTGTGGCATAATCATCAGAGAGATGCATCGCAGAACAAGGAAAACTGGCACAAAATTATAACCTTTTGTTAGGAGAAATGTCTGGAATTCTCATGGTCGGACTGAAGAGACAATGACTGAAGTAAGTTTCAACTTGTCAGTGATGTAGACAATTAGAGAAATGATTTATCACCTGGCTTGGCCTGAAAGTAGTCAGATTTAACTATTTCCAATGTATCCACACACTGGAATCAGCCTGCAATAATTAGCATACATAAATTATTGCAGAAAGGAAATTCTTCCTAACCCCAAATTAATGGAGGTGGATAGAGCACACTGAAAACTGACCACAGTGGGCTCTGTGGACTATTCACCTGAACAAAAATGTCATTGATCATTGCTGCAAGCGCCCCAATTTATATCCTTTTCACTTCTGTTTATTTGGGTGGATGCAAAAATCACACAGATAGATATTGCAAACTTTAACAAATAAAACCTAAACAATCTGCATAGTTAGACAGCAGGAGGGATAAGTGGGAAAATGTTTTTTGTCATTTGGATGAACCGACCCCGCCACCTGAGGACCATGTGAAGGTGTGTGTTACTAAATGGTAACTTGAGCTGTACAAACTTTGCTCTGTACTGCTTGTCTCTGTTTCATCCTGTCATAATTAATGCAGGAGTTCATGCAAGAGTGATCAGGAAGCAGCGATTAAACACAACTATGCATGACAAGTATGACCGGATAATAGGAACAGGTATGAAAACACACACACACACACCTTTCACTATCAAGCACTGCGGCCACAAGGTATGCAAACTATCTTTCCATCCTAAAACTATACATGAAACGCAAACCTGTGTGTGGATGTTTAGCCGAGGGGGGAAGTCGTCTCTTAACTGAACTGTTAAAACACAGAGTTGTTCACACATGAACATACTCTCAGACATGTCAGTCACACAGAATAAAAAAACACTACAAGCCAAATAGGTTTTGCTGTTTATTTCAACACTAACAGTCATGTGTAATAATGTGCTGACTGGCGTTGCGATGCAGCCACAGTGCATCTGAGAACTCTTGCTGAAGCCTCAGAGTTGTCGGTCTAGAGCCATCTATCTAGAGGAAGCGGGCTGAATGTCATGGACTGAGAAGCCCAAACTGTCCCTGATCAAGCGACATAAATTAGCTACACACAGGTCATTTTGGTATTTGGATACAGCTAACAGCTAACTCCATAGAAACAGTCTCATCCGTCTCTTCTAGTTGTTACAAGGTTATTAATTCTCACCATTTTACAGTTAGACAAAGTCAAACATGTAAGATTTGACATCACAACAACCTGACAAACATACAGAGTGATTTAGTTGAAGGATCTCTTAATAATGTATTCTGCTAGCTTCTGCATTATTCTCTGTTGCTTATTGTCTATGCAGTTCCTGGAAGAGCGTACCAGGAAATAAAACTAATACTGCTCTGCAACAACTATTTCCAGGATGTAAAAAGTGAACTGAGGCTTAAAATAGTTCCTGTTAATGTCACAGCGTTCAGAGATGCAGGGACTGTGGGATTACTAAATGGGGTCACTTCTCCCAAAAGCATCTGAAAATCCAATCTTACAGGTGTTTGTACTCACAGATGGACTCAAATGTACAGGCATGGCAATACTGTAAAGGCCTGTGTGTTTCTAAATAAGTGTACTATTTTTGTTGCACTTATTTACAATGGAAATGAGAATAATATAAATACGGAAAGCCGAGAAGGCCAAAAACATGACTTATTATTTCATGTTTGTGAACTCCCTGGATTGCTAGTAAAAATGTGTTATTTAGACAAGAAACATATAATCTGAACCAAAGTCTACTACACTGTAGATATTTAATGTGTAGGCTCACATTTGTATTCCTGTTGTGTTTGTTTTTGTTACACAAAAACATAATTCCTTGACTTGAACCTTGATATAGAAATTAGGCTTTTTTTGTCTGCTTACATCGCCTATGATTGAGTAAGATGCTTTTCAGGGAAACAAGTCACCTGCATCAGAACAGCCAAACTAATGCCAGAACAATAAACAATGCCCAGATTTAAAGGGGCACTCCACCAATTGTACACACATAGTTCAGTTTACAAGTCATAAGGAGTACTACTCAGCCTGTGAAATTGGCCTCTTGTGAGTGCCGCACATTTTTACTTTACTTTTTACCAGCTTTAAACCAGTGGTTCTCAATCGGGAGTTCCCCCCACAGTGGTCAAAATATAAATCTGAGGAGTGGAGAGATGATTAACAAGACGGGAAAGAACAACCAACAAAAATGTCTGCCCCATAAAGTTATGTTTATTATTCAGGACATTTGTCTTTCCTTTTTTGGCCTCTTTAGGCTTCTATAATTATTAACATTAAACAGTCTGAGGTGAACAAAAAAAATCACTGACTTCGCTTGCTTGAATTGCTCACAGCTCCTAACCTTTCATGAGGGGCTGCGTGTAGACTTTTTATTGTTCTAAAGCCAAGCCAAGGTTGAGAACCACTGCTTTAAACAGCAATGAAACAGCCTCAAAAGAGCCGTAATGACAAAAAACAGGAATAAAATGTTTCATGTTTAAATCCAACCGATGAAAGTTGACCAAAGCAGGACAGAGTGTAGTGGATGACCCGGCTGTAACGTAGTGTTAAATAAATAGGACCTTCTGTGCTTTAAAGACAGACACTGACACTGAGGACAATATCGAGTGATCTACTCTGCTTAGCAGGCAGGATAAGGATCAACGTTTCAACTCCAAGTCTGCAGTTTTCATTGTTCCAAAAACTGATAAAACATGAACACTAAGTAGTTCTGGAGAGTCATTTTCAATCTTATTTGGAAGAGGCTGAAGTGAACTGAACCTACCATTATCGTGCATTTGCTTGATTGAAAGAGCTTTCATAGCATGTTTGTAGCTGACCTAACTGTACTTTACTGTGCATTAAGGTACACTTGATGATGACCTTTTAAAGGAAACCTGTCTGTTTTTGGCTGTTAGGACCTACTTACAGTGAAACAACACTTAGCCTTACCTTTCAGTCGCCTCAGCAAAAAGTCAGACTGGATCCTGACAAAATCAAGCTGTTATTAACTCTTTGTAAACCTGTGATCAAGTATACCTTAAAGTTAATTTCTCATTGAAGACTACAGATTATAAGTGGCTTATCATAATACTCCTCTAGGCTACTTCTCTTAATAAGTGGTACTTGGTTGACTCTCCTGGCGGAGGTCAAAGGTCAACTATGGAGCAGCACAGCCTATTAACCCCTCTCTAAGCATGCTGTCCCTCCTAGCTTATTGTGCAACTACATATAGAAATTATTGCTATAGAATTACGGTGTCCGTACTGAGGTGCATTTTGGGTAGGGGAGAACATCTCCCAGTATTGCCAACACTGATTCTCTGCCCCTGAGTTTGTGGCTTTGAATTGCATAAAAGTCCAACATGCTTCCAAACAAAGTGAGTCTATACCAGCGACTCGCACACAGGCGGGTTGTCAGAGTCCTGGCTGTGCATGGAGCTCAGGCCTGTGTCCGAGTCCTCGTCGTTCGTATTGCAGGCCTTGGAAAGACCTCTGGCCTGCTCCACCCAGCCACTGCTCTTCTCTGCTGACGCCGGTTCAGCCTCAGCGCTCACTGCACCTTGCTCTCCCTCATCAGTCACCGTCAGTTTGTTGTCCACCTGCTCTATTTCCATGGTCTCAACTTTGGCCAGTAGGTCCAGAAGTTCACTTTCCTTGGTCTCCCAGAGTGCCAGACTCAGGTCCAAGTCCCCCCTGATGGCATCCAGGTCTGTCTTGAGCCGCAGGCCGATGTACAGACTGGTGTCCAGCTGCGTTTTGATCCTCTCCTCCTCCAGTGTGAGCTCGTTCTCAGACAAACTCTCCACATCTGGTTCCTCTGGAGCGGCAGACGCGGCCAGGCACATCTCCTCCGCGACGCCGTCTGTGTCCTTCGCCGCCTCCGCTCCTCTCTCCTCCCGCCGCCGTTTCATCCACCGCCGGTTGAGCTCCTCCTGGATCTCCCCGGTGATGCTCTCCACGAGCGCCTCGCGCTCCGTCAGCTCCTCCTGCAGCCGCACCACCTCCTCACACCGGCGCGCGTACTCCTCGAACTGCACGAGCGCCTCCGCTGTGCACCGCGCGTCCTGCCGCTCCGCCTTGCGCTTACAGTCCCCGGGATCGGGAGCCTCCGAGGAGTCCACCATGTATGTGTCCTGCACATAGTTCACCCCGTGTCTCTTGATGCGGTCGAAGTGCACCTTGGCCTCGTACCGCTCGATCTCCCGGTCCAGCTCCTTGATCCTCTGGATCTGCTGGCGGATGGTGTGGTCCTGGGAGATCACCAGGTGAACCAGCGTCTCCATCTTCTCCACTGAGCCCTTATCTTTAGAAACAGTCTGCTCTTTCTTTTTGTTCATCTTATCCAACTTCCTGAAAGCCTTCCTCACTATGCGCCTCTGTTTCTCCTGGGAGAGGTTAGCGGCAGCGGCCGCGGCGGTCCAGCACGTCTTGGCGGTGCCCTTGAGCACCCCGCCCGGACCGCCGCTCTCCCGGCTCTGGACCACCCGGGCCTCAGCGCTACGGGGCCCGTTGTTGGGCAGCGAAGCCTCGTTCTTCACCAGGACGAAGCGGACATTCTCTTGCTCGTCCCCCCAGGCGCTCCACAGCCGGAGGATTTTGGTCTTGTTTGGTAAAATCCTCTCGAAGCCTCTCCATTTCTCCACCACGCAGTAGGACTGCGGGCAGCCGGACAGCATCGCCGCCGAGGCGCCCTGCTGGAGGTTCTGGTCCTCCAACAGGACTTTGACCACGTCGGCGCAGGTGGTTCGCTTCGTCAGCCCGGAGACCAGCTTCTCCTCCCGGCAGACCCACACGGAGATCTTCCCCTCCTCCGGCTCCATCTCCGGCTCAACTCTGAGAGAAAAAAGTTTCGACAACGTGTCCTCTTTGTGTCACTGTGTGGCAGATCAGAAAGTGAAGAGACCGAAGCAGTCTTTAGACTTGAACTTGACTTAAAACTTCATTAGGTTGCTATGAGGGAAACTGACGCAAAACATTCATCCAAAACAGATAGTCTGCGCTCCCAGTTGAAATGCGCTCAGAAGTCCGACCATATAACCTTGTTACGCCTCGAATGACAGCCAGAGTTGTCTTTAGAAATATTACATCCAGTCATATTCTGTGACAGTGGTCTGTCCCCGGGCTGCCTGCCGGGACTTCATCTCTCTCTCCCCGGCGGATTGAGCTCAGCCCTGCGCGCTTTTCGGGAGAGGAGAGGTGCGTCCTTGTGTCCGGACAGGCTGCTGTGCTGTGAGTGGGACAAAACAGGAGGGTGCTGTAACGGCTGGGACACGCCTCCCTGCCTCTCTCTCTCTCTCTCTCTCTCTCTCTCTCACTGTCACACACACACACACCACACACACACACACACCTAATACACACACACACACACACACACACACTCTAGCAAACCTGGGCTGAGATAGTGAAACGAACCTGCAGCAGTGTTTGTTGAGTCTGTCAGGTGTGTTGACTCCTGCTCACTGCTTCATTTTACACTGAGAGCGTTTGTTTGCAAAGTTCATGTGTCCATGTTCATCTGATCAGAGATAACAAATCTGCCAGTTTCCGCCATTCACACACTTAAATCACACTATTTGATATTTAGACATGATAGCTTACTGCCCAGTCAGGGTTAAAGATCAGTGTTTGGATTTGTATCAACAGGATCTTGTGGGGGTATATAATTTACTTCATGTCACTGCTACCTACTTAAAGAAAAATTTTGACGGCACCTGTTTTTTTTTTACAATTTTACATTGAGTATTTACATTTTATTCCTTTATACTTGTACCACTACAGAACTGAGGGTCAGCTTATACAACATGATACATATATATAAAGTATTATCCTTAAATTCAGCTCCAGCTACAGTATTGAAATGCTGCATTCAAAGCATCAGTAATAACTGGCTAATCCAATAATAAAACATACTGTGTATAATAATATAGCACCAGTGAATTGGGACATTCATAATAATATTTACCAGTGTGCATGTTCATGATAATATTTTTGTAAATTTACTTAATGTACATTTTTGAATGCAGAGTTTGTAAAGATCCCCTCCAGACATTATATTAAGGCCATATTCAACATGAATTTCTCGCTTAGAACAATAAAGTGCTCTGGAGTATGTTGTTATTGGCCGCAAAAAAACGGTATACACAATAACTAAGTTTTTCCATCCTGAAATACACAAATTTAGAGCTTTTAAGTTTTTGCTGCGGACACAGATGTCTCCTACTTCACTGTTAAAGTCCATTCTCATGGATGTTGCACTGGTGCCGCTTCAAGTTTCCATACATCACAACTGTACAAGTTGCTTCTGGGACAGGACTTGAGAAACTTCCACTTTTAGAGAATGAATGTGAAAAACAATCCTTTCAAACTCTGCACAGCCAGCATTCAAACAGCACACTGTAGGAACTAGAAGAGAAACACTGAATTCTGACTGGAGGGGGGCAACATTTAATATATATCACTTTTGACTAGCAGCCAGGCAACATAAGCAAACAACCTTCTCATCTGGTGCAAATTCTGTATGTTGCTGAACCCAGTAAGAAGAGCACAAACAGAAATACAGAAATTCCTCATGTGATGTAACCAAAGCTGTTGTAACATTGGCAGAAAATGTGTAAGTTCACTGAAGACCCCATTGCTCATGGTACAAAGGGCCTGTAAGTAAAAGATTTCAGTACTTCTTCCAGCACTGTGTACAAACCATATGTTTTTGCAGGACAGCATGCAAACCTCATAATCCCTGATACAGCTGGTGCGTGGTTTTGTATTTGTGATTTCCCACAAAATTATTCTTTCCAAATCTCACACAATCAGTAGTCCTGCAGTTCTGCATTCTGTGGGTGTATATAATGGTTGTTTTTTTTCATGGCGTCCCACACAACCTAGAACTAATGAGTCCAGGTTACAAGCCAAGAAGAACCACAGACTAAAGCTAAAACACTGAAGCTCTTACTCAGCAGTATTACACTGCAGTATACATTGTTATACAGTTTCATCTTCATAATCCCCACACAGCTGAATGTCTCAGTATGATAAAGCTCAGCTGGATTGAGCATAAAGCAGAGAGAAATCCATCTATTGCACCCTGCAGGGTTCTCATATAGTCTGACTCCATAATCTGCTCTTTCAACTATTTCAGGCCAGAATATGCTCGATGAAACTCATAAAAGGATTTATCTGCATTGAGAGTGTTTTGGTGTGTGTGAGTGTTACATTAATGGCAAGTGTTCATCCCCACCAGCCACCATTAGTCTGTTTGTGACTCAGAGTGATGCATCACGCCAGGTTTGTGGGTAAAATAAATGCTTAGGAAACCATCTGGGAGTGTGACCACACTGCGCGCATACAGACGCATTACACACAGCAGCATGTGTGCGCACACATTCAAAGCATGCACCACAAACACTAGATTTAGATAAAGAGGACTGTCAGTGCTACGTCTGGGATGTGCAGATAACAGAATGTTTTTCTAATCTCTGATCTCATTTCCTGTGAGGTCATTACATGTGTCTGACCTGCAGACTTATTATTGGCTGTAAACGGTTTCCAGTGTTACCTCAATACATGTGACCACAAAGCAAAAATGGCTTGTTTCCCTTAAGATCACCAGTCCGCTGTCGGTTTTAAATAAAGTGTTGGGTGCAGGGAGGGAACTAGAGGAATATTCATGGGGTGGCAGAAATATATGCTGATTTAATCGCAAATAAAGGCTTTTAATATTTGAAATCAAAAACATTATTGTGGCACATGTCATACATTTCTTAATGTAGTCCACTGACCATACCTGCTACAGTTACATATTATACATTGCTGGATTCAGGCCTTTCTAGCAAACCCTGGCTGGTGTTTCTGGGACTATCACAGCCAAAGCTTCCTTAACGTAAATGAATACATTCATCATAGATCCTAAAATTGTATTGTGTGTAATTGTATTTCTTCAATGCATCAAGATTTTCACATTCTGTTATTTCATGAAATTACATGAGTTCAGGTGTATCATCTCCCACTCGGCCTGGCTTTATTTTTCACTTTTTTATTTATGGGGTGTGTCACAATATCTATTAAACCACTTTTGCAGTAAAATACTCCTATACATTTCATATAAGGGAGACCTTGGAGAATATAAAAACAATTGCTGTGCTTTGTTCTACCTCCGGTGAGAGTATCTCAAGATTTTGGGTGCCTTCTCACTAGCCTATTAGTAAAGCATCACTTTGTCTAAAATATAATAACAGAACATAAAATTAATGACATTTTTTAACACATTCTTTTATTATTATTAATCTAAATAATGTATTAATTTTGACAGCATTTGACCCCAAACTGGGGTGGCCATGCATTCTTTAGGGGCGGCAGCTGCCACCCAGTGCCACCCCACTGTGTCCACCCCTGGTTATCCAAAATGTATCTGCAAGTATAATTCATAAGGAGCCTCAAAGCGAAGAGTTTTTGCTGTGTGGAAATCCCAATTTAGTGTTATACAAAGGTGTCATCCATCAAATTTACTGATAGGTGGATAAATCCATTATCTTAAGAGCAAATGAATAAGATTGATTGGGGCTGTTTATGCAAATACAAACATGAAAGTGATGTTTTAAGTTTATCATGTCATGAATAGAAATATAGAGCTGTGGAAGAGCTCTGGGTTGAATTCTTTGAGTATGGCTCCCTCTGGTGTTAATACAGGAATCTACATTATAAAGTTATTCACCAGCTGTCATATGAGGTTCATTTGCACAACATTTATTCATGACAAAATAATCTTACAGTTTTGCTCAGTTGCCATCGAACAAAAACCACGATTCTACAAACACTGAATTTCTTAAATGCATTTCTTGTTGCTTCCACACAGTCGACCAAGTGACCAAGTGCTCCTCTAACAAACTGTATAACTCTCAGAAGTGTTTTGTGTTGTAAAGATTCCAGTTTTATTAGATTTTTTTCTTCCTTTCTCTATCTACCTCACTTCCTTTCCTGTCTTTTCCTTTTCATGTTAGTTTATCTAAAAACTTTATTTATCCTTATTTATTTAAGATGAGCATTTGAGACTAAGTTGACTTTAAATTCTAACCTTATGTTTGTTTTCTTTCAGAGTCAACAGCCCATGTGTGTTTTTTCCTTCCCCCTTTATTTTTAGAAATGCAGCTTTAAGTTTTGGAGACAATAAACTTTGTTCAGAGGGTTGAGGTTTCCTGGCTTATTCCATGCATTCTGATCCCATTACATTTTTTTTTTTTTTCAAAGCTGTGACCAGAAAAGCAACAATTGTTTAGAATGTAGAATTTTACTAAATTTCACTAGGATAATTCACTCAGTATTAATGCTACTTTACAGGCAGTCCCAGGTGCATTTTTGTGGATCTCACCTACTGCTGACATAAGTGGCCACACTGAAGTCCACCTGCAACATACAAGTACTACAAGAAAGTGCAAAATTCTGAAACTATTTCTATTACTAATCATCAACAAAAATGCAAACAGCAGTTTCTATACATTTTAGATTGTTTTATATAATCTTTGTTGTTTTCAGCCAAACAACAAATGAACTGTGTGCACGCTTTTGCATTCACCTTTGCCATGATTTAGCATTTTTTATAATGAAATTGTGTTATTTATTATAGTTGTATCTTAAGGGGTTTAGTTTAGTTTAAATTGATATGAAACAACTAGAAAAAGAAACTACTAATGATCTTGTGGGACAGATTATATTATATTATAACTGTCACAGATTGGAGGAAGGGGGCTGGAGGGCTGGAAATGGCCCTCAGGCTGGCAGTTTAAGACCCCTGCTTTATGTAATCCTTCCCAGCGTGGTCTCTTATGCAACATGCAGCCCTGTCCATCACTCACTGAATGTAGTTGAACCCTTACACGCTGCAGTAGCGTTGGGAGCCAGGCTGCTCCACAGATATCTGGACTGAACTGAGTGAATTTATTGTAATGAGACATTTTGTTTTTACTGTACTTTTGTATGTTTCTGTTTCACATAAGTGTTGCATATAAGGTAAATACTGTGAATGACACTAACAGAGTGCTTTCATCAATCAACAGATCAGATTTCACTCACTTATAATCATGTGACCTAACTGTAGAATGCCGGCCATGTGGTAACAGTTTATATAAGATAATATATATATTTAAATAAAATATGACAAAAATACACTTTCTCAGTTGACTTGTGGTGGATTCAGAGTTCAGAGATTATTGTTAATGAGTAACGAC